GGAGGGGGGAGGGGGGAGGGGGGGGGGGGGTAACCAAGGGGACTGGTTTAGTTTTAAGGTTACCAAATAGCAGCTCCCAGGCATAAAGGGACACTGCGCGTTTGTTGCATGCCTCCTCACTACGGTAAGATTGGTTGCATTTTGATTTACAGTTCTCGTTTCTAAATGTGCATTTTTAAAGATTTTTTTAAATCCCACCTTTATTATTTTTTATATATAACTGAAGGCAGTGAACATACCTAAGGAATACTCCTTCCTCCTCCTATTTTCCCCACAACGACAACCCTGTGAGGTGAGTTGGGCTGAGAGAGAGGGACTGGCTCAAGGTCACCCAGCCGGGTTTTCGTGCCTAAGGTAGGACTAGAACTCACAGTCTCTTGGTTTCTAGCCTGGTGCCTTCACTACTAGATCAAACCACTTATATTCCTAGAAAAATTGACATCTCTTTTTTGGGGGAGTGGGGTAGGGGAATCATGCTTTATTTTGCTTTAGAAGACAGATGAATTGTAAGTAGTTATGGTGCTTCATTGTCACAGACAATGCTACATTTAGTCCAATAGTTAATTAAATATTAGTTAAATAATTTGGGGACACTGGATGTACACTACTGATCCCAACATTTAGATCCTGGTATGTATTAAAACCCCTTGCTTCAAAATCTTTTATGGGGCCTCTCTTCTTAGATAGCATTATTTAGCTGTATGTTACTTGTGTCCATATGCAATAATCCAGCTTTGCTTAATTTTAGAGTTCTATTGATTTGCTGAGCAGGGTTCTGGGCATCTTGCCCCAAAATCTTGCTCTGAAGGCATTGTGAGTGTAAAGGGAGCTGCTGGAAGAAAGAGATGCTTGTTTTTCTCCACCTCATATGGATTGCGAGTGAAGAACATATTGTTCCTGTTGGTACCATGGCCTATTTGGCTGGGCAAGGAGCAACTTTTCATTCCCCCACCCCTCCCAAGAAGGTTGGCATGTCCAAATGAGGTATATGTATACATCAGCCTTTCCCCACCAAGTGAAGTCCCTCAGGTGTACTGGACTTCAACACCCAGAGTCTCAAGCCAGCTTGGACACATGCTGGAGAGCATCAGGTTGGGGAAGGTTGGTGCATATGAATGTGTGAGAGTGTGTGTGAGTGAAAGAGAGAGAGAGAGAGAGAAAGACAAGGGATTTGTCTCCAATACTTCATGCATTTCCTTCTTATGCTAATCTCTCCCTTTCCCTCTCCCTCTCCCTCTCTCATCTGTCATCTCTGCACCATTTCCTCCAGGAGAATATTGCCCTTGAGTTAGCCAGAAACATTCTCAAGACCTCTTGATTTATCCTGCCTTGTTCATGAGAAACCTTTGATCAGAGACATAAGCATATCCTTTGTCCTATATACAACAGGTTGATTTGGAAGAGAATAAGGTGGCCAAAAGACAAAACAAAACATAACATCTTTTGGTATCACTGCAGACGACTAATGTTTTTTGAGGAAACACAGCAAGGTAGTTTGACTCGAAGTTCAGTGAACGAGCTGCAGATTGAGGAAGCAGAAGTGATAGTCACTAATGAACAGTAATGGAACCAAATGAAATACAAATTCAAAGTTGTGCTCCAAAGAGGAGAGAAAGCTGTGCACGCATCTAATGGAGTTGCATTATTTAGCTTTCTGAGATGAGAAAAATGATGGTTTCTTATTTGTGTTATATTGTCGTCTTGATTCCAGCCCTGCCTCCCTGCTGCTCTAACATTATGAATGAAGCTGTATGTACTATCCATTTATTGATGTATCTTAAAAAAAAAAAAAAAATTCTGAAGAGGCCAGCTGAAGAGTTTCTATGCATATTCATGCTGGCTTCAAAACAGCAAATATGTAAATTAGCAGTTTAACTGGCTAATTTTTAATGAGTCCTAGCTGAAGATCCCAAAGGAAGCTGTACACCAAACATTTGCTACCTCCCCGCCAGCCCCTAGGAAAAGATTTGATAAAATTTATGGCATCATAAAACAAAGCTATAATGAAGTACTGCATGCGTGGTGCTATGGTTGACCTTCATTATGGCACTATGAAGTGCACCTGGTAGCGCCTTTTCGTTGTAAGATGTGACATCCTTCTTAGAGATTAATTCTGCCTCTGAAAATAAGCCCCGAGTAGATAGGGGGCCATGTGCACATCATAGCTTTGAACCACAATAGGGATATGCTTGTACCACCTCACTTGCGTCAATTAATGCTCCCTTTTTACATCATATATTGATGAAACTGCAACTCTGGTTTTGTTTCAATGCTGCATTGATTTACTCTGTAAACGCCTATCCCCTGGTGTCCTCTTTGGGGTCATTTGTCCAGATATACTGTGGCTTTAGCTATTATGTCTGGCTCCTTGGAAGTTGAACCTCCAAATTAGTTGGAGGCATTTTGACCTAGATGCTGGCATATGAACACTCTTAAGGCTCTGTATAAGCCATATGCTTCATCTATAGAGCTCTTAAACTCACAATTAACTCAGCAAGAAGAAAGTTACTATCTAAAAATATGCTGACCTGCTGGCTGCATTTAGATGTCATGGTTATCCTTGGCTTAGCATGATGAGAATCAGCTTGAGCAGGGAGTGGGCATACATGCCCACACACTACTGTTTGCTCTTCTAATATGGCTGGAGTGCAAGGAGAAGACTAGAAGCTTTTACTGCCAGGTTTAACTGCAAGAATAAACTCATTGTGGCTATGATCATTAACTTGTGGTTGGCAGTTGTCTTATTTCAAACCATAATTAAGGTTATCCCAATTGTGAGCATGTTGTGGTTCAAAAAATAAATAAGATGGTCACAACAAGGAGAGCAGGATAGCGGGAACGCAAATACCAGGCTGGCATAGGTTCATTTCTATAAAGTGAACATAACTAGTGCCTTCAGGGACATTTAAGAATGGAGAACCTCTTCAGATATAACCATCTGGCTGAGAGACAACCAGAAGAGAGAAGTCACTTCGGTGGATTTGGGCTCTCCTTATTTCTTGTTTCTAAACCTTTTTAATAAGAACATGTAAATAAACGCAAGGAAATACAGCTGGAAAACCTCATCTGGTAGCACTTTATAATAAATGGACATGAATTAATACTAAATTACAATGAATTTCTATGAAATTACATATTACATTCATGCCATATCAGGATCCATAATGGAAGGAGGGGCCTGGTTTATGCCCACTGATACTCCGATACATTCCCAAGGAATTATTGTCAATTCAACCCTTAATGTAAAGTGATTGATTTAAACCTCTCAACTCTTTAAAGAGCCGAAAGAAGGACTACATGGTAAATGTGCTTGGTGAGTAAAGAGAAAGGAATTCTCAGAACGAATGCTTTGACCTGTTGCGGAACAGTAAAATGGGCAAAATCTTTGTCTCGGAAGTTCAAGATTTGTGTGGATGCACCGTGGAAAGTATATGAATCATTGGACGAGGAGATTGCTTTCAGCTCTATGTGTGGGATTCGTTTTGTTTTGTTTTTGGCTAGCAAGGAAGACAAACCCTAAAGGGCAAAACTTTCTGCCCCACTTATTACAGCATCAGAAAAAAGGAAACAGATTGTTTGGAAAACACAGATTATAAATAAAATTCTTGGTGCCTTATTTTCTGTTGAAAACGTTGTCAGGGTTCCCCTCCACCCCCTGGAGGGAAAAATACATTCATGTCAGGGAAATTTAACTACGTATTTCCGAAGCCAGAGTCCCACAGACTATAGCTCACAAGCTGATAAATACCTCCCTCCCTTTCATTTTTGTACATTGGAGACATTTTTCCTGAGCACAATGTACAAAATAAAATCAACAAACTCTTTCTGATGGGGTATTTGGAGGAAGAAAGATTGAGTGAGAGGCTTCGGTGTGCCTAAGACAGTGCTTCTCCTAAACTGCTGAGTTGGAAAACACTGAACATTCACCCCACACACTGCCTTCGTTCCTGACTAAGACTTTGGCCCATGTCTCTCTCACCTTTCCTTATCTCATGAAACAAAGATCGGCCAAAGTCCTAATGGTGCCCGGCTACTCTCAAGAGGCAAAGCCTTCCTGGCTGCAGAAGGAAGGGGAAACCTCAATCATTTTGAGAGGGTCCCAGGCCTAACCAATCAAGAGGAAACCGCAGCCTTGATGTATGCTCCAACTGTAACAGTGACATGCTCACAAAAATATTAGAAGCATCGTTTTTCTGGTAGGCGATTGTCCGTGCCTCCCTGGAAGAAAATGCAGCAGCAACGTGTCTTTTTCTGGCAGAAGCAACAGGGAACAGCTCCATGCCCAGATTCCTTGGTTGGTTATATTTATAGCTGCACCTGTGGTTTGAGGTGATGTGGATAGGAAGTATAATTTGTCTTCACTCAGCGGGGTGAGCCTTTAACAGTGATATTTCTAGGACTGTCCATCTGCATGAAAACTTGTTTCTCGAACCTGTGACTTTTTAAAGGGAGAAAACTGCATTAGACACACACACGCAAAAGCATCCTTAAGGCCAGTGTTTATGGAAGAGCTGCCCTGTGGAAATTGCTTGAAAACATTCCCACAAAGGGAGGGGTTCAGGGTCGACAACTCTCCATACCGACTGATACTACAGTCATTTTTTAAAAAAATGCCTGCAGCCAGCTGGAAAGTATCACATGATTCTCCCCCTGGTGCCTGTTAAGCTCTACCTTATACAACCTGACTTGTTTTACTTTTTTTTTAAAAAAAAAAACGAGGAACTGGCATGATGCAAAATGAAGTGCCGGCCACCAGCCAGCCCCATTTTTATTTCTAAGAAT